TTGAACATTCATTCACTTTGAGAGGATCAACTTTAATCATCTTAAATTGCTTTCGGAAGCACATTGCTTTGTGAGGTCCCAATTTATGTTAAGTTTAGTACCAGTGCTTCAAGTACCAAATATACAATGTTGGTTTGTCTGACAATGTTGACTAAGTACATAACTAATCATCCACTCCATCTGCAATTTCATTCAGCTTATCAAATTTAGTTTCTTTGAATTCATATATTTTGGCTACTACGTGTTTGTGTTCATGTTCCATTAATTTTACAATATATCAATCCTGTAAAACATTTAGATGATTGATATTAGGGCTATCTCATGATATATCACCCAGAACCTTTTAAACCCCATGATAACGAAGATTATGGAATTCTACTCTCTTAGTCTCTTTTAGCATTTTTTCCACTAACCATCTATGATCTTTTGCATAAATTAATTGTTGCCCATTAATGTAATTTGCTTATGCTAGAAATTTCATTGCACCCTTCCCTGGATAATTCAATTCAGAATTACCCCTATGTCAACAAAAGTTATGTTTCAGAAACTACCGTCGTCCCAAAAAGAGAGTGTTTTCTTTTTTTCTAGAAGTGGATCAATATTACTAAGAAACCATAGAAGTTTACATTGCAGCCCCAACATAGAAAATGCTAATTGAATCTAAACTCTAAAGTCATACCACTTTAAGAATACTGGAACAAGGTTTCAAAGAAACATTCTCATACCTGGAATTAAATGAGTACATTTGAGTTTACAACTTACAATGGTTTAAAAGTCTTCGTTTGAAACTTCAAGATTTCATATCATTCATTTGATTTAAATTGTGGTTCTTGCAAAAAAAAAACTAAGACACCTTTCAAGAATTGTGGTGATTTATTTATGATACTGAAAGGTTATGATTTTTCGGTGCATAAAAATATGTATGATGTATTATATTCTGGAATTTCATTGAGCTTATCCAATTCAGTTTCTTTGAATTTCTATATCCTGTCTGCCCTGTGTTTGTGTTCAAATTTAGTTTCTTTGAATTTATACATTCTGACTGTTGTGTCTCTGCGTTCATGTTCCATTAATTTACAATATAGCAATCATGTAAGACATTTAGATGATTGATATTAGGGATATTTCACGATATACGAAGTATCACCCAAAACCTCTTAAAACCCATGACGACGACGATTAGGGAATTTTACTCTCTTAGTCTCTTTCAACATTTTTTCCCACTAAACCCCTCTATGATCTTTTGCATAAATTAATTGTTTCCTATTAATGTAATTTGCTTATGTTAGAAATTTTATTGCAGCCACCCCTGGATAATTCAGAAGTACCCTTTTGTCAGCAAAAGTTATGTTTCAGGAACTATTGTCGTCCAAAAAAGACATCGTTTTTTGTCTAGAAATGGATCAATATTACTAAGAAACCAAAGAAGTTTACATTGCAGCCCCAACATAGAAAAAACTAATTGAATCTAAACTCTAAAGTCATTCCACTTTAAGAATACTGGAACATGGTTTCAAAGAAACATTCTCATACCTGGAATGAAATGAGTACATCTGAGTTTAAAACTTAAATGGTTTAAAAGTCTTCGTTTGAAACTTCAGGATCTCATATCATTCATTTGGTTTAAATTATGGTTTCGGAAAAAGGCTAAGACACCTTTCAAGAATTATGGTGATTTATTTATGAATCTGAAAAGTTATGATTTTTCAGGGCATAAAAATATGCCTGATGTATTATATCCCTGTGAAGACCTGAAACTTCCATCACTTACAAACTTATAGTTCAATAATTCAACTTTTCATGGTTTTGCTTTGTTTTAATATCTTTTATTATCATTTATTATTTGTCGTATGACATCTCTCGTTCATGGAATAAAAAATACTCCCTCCGTAACTTAAAAATCTTCCCACTTTCCTTTTTCGTCCGTAACAAAAAAATCTTCTCATTTCTAAATCTTCCCATCATACCCTCAATAATTCTTAAAATAATACACTATTACAACTACTTTTTTTGGATTTATCCTACATTCCACCACATTATTCCACAATTTTCCCATCATACCCTCAATAATTCATATCATCTTTCACTATTCTTAATCTACCTACTTTTGAAATGGGAAGATTTCAAAGTTACGGAGGGAGTAATATCTCTATAACTAAATTTACACATTAACATTTACGCCGTATATAAGTATATTATACCCGTGCATCGCACGGGTGGAATACTAGTGTTAGCCTACTTTCTCAAATTTGTGGCTTAACACAGTATGAATCTTGCACGCATACCAAACGTGCAAAAAATAGCAGCTGCCCTACACACCAGATTCTACGGGAAGTCGAGGATCAATGAGTCGTCGTTGGGGTTTCCCGCCATCAATTGATTATTTTGCTGACTATGGTGACGACAAGTTTGAAATGGTGGTCGGTGATGACTTTCTTTTTGCTAGTTCAAACAACTCCCGATTGTTTGGTTAGGTTATGTTAGGTCTTGGCCAAATTCGCCTGACCAAGAGATGCACAGAGAATGATAATAAAGACACAGAGGTTGTTTTTTACTCCACTTTTTCCACGTCTACCTGAAACGATCGAATTAAGAAGAAGAATTTAGTACTCACCCATACTACAGTACCTCTCCCTCCTCCATAACCACCTGCATGTCAGGAAGAGTTTTGTGGGAAAACATTATTTCAATATTAGTTTTCTTTAGTAATATTAGTTTTAATTTTAGTTCAAGTAAGTTTGGTTTGAATATTTGGATATTTAAAGTACTGTTGACACATTGTGTCCCGGTTCTAGTCGTGTTAGACATGAAAGTGTCTAGCGAGTCAGATTGTTTTGTATAAGGTGACTGTATCTATGTCTACTACAAGGGCATAGGATCATTATGTAATAAGTGTCTAGAATTTGTCTTGTATATTTTCTCGATATTAATATGTCACACCTCAGACCGCATCTGGGAGTGTGTACAACCGCCACACAATCAAGTGACGTCACCCGCAGGTCACACTCACTCGATTGTACATGGCATCCATGAACATAGTCCATACCATACTCAGTAAGTAGACATACATAACCAGCATCACACTCTAGGTTGAATGAATAACAAAAAATATTCAATACTCAATCATGGGCCACATATGGCAAAACGTGGGCTCACAAGCCCAAAAAAGGATTTATTACATAATAGCCATAAACATAGTTTATAGTTTCAAAACAGTAAAGGAAGCACGAATCGCATCTTTCTCGAAATCACTTCACTCGTGCAAAGGTGCAAGTAACAAGCTCTAGCCTCAATCTGAAAATGGCAGGACCCCCGAAGGGGTTAGTACTTAGTACACTTCTTCTTCCTCCCCCTCATCCTCATCCTCATCTTCATCCTCCTCCTGCTTCTCCTTCTCCTCCTCGTCTTCCTCCTTCCTCTTCCCCTTCCCCTTCTCCTTCCCCTTCCATCCCCCCTCCCCCACCCCCCTCCTCCGCTCCTCCTCCTCCTTAACTAAGTTTCAAGTATAAGTCCCAAACATAGGGTGATACATATGTTTATAACTTTCCCCGAGTCTTCGAAATTCATAAAAGTATATACGCTAGCTAGGAAAATACCTGACCCGTAGGCCATCTGATCAAATCAATAAAATAATGGTGGACTTAGTCCTTCACTTTCGCAATATACGACCCATTGTTTAGCTTTCCCGCTATAACCTATGGTTCATTTTATAATTGAGTGTTGATAGCCTTACTTAGCCATCGGGTCACTCTCCCGGTAATAATAAGTTTTAGGACACCGCCTGCCCTGGGTACTTACCCCTAATATCCGAGTTTTGAGGACACCGCCCGGTCCCTGAGTACTCCACCCGAAATAACCGAGTTTTGAGGACACCTGCGATCTATCATATACCTTACCTGTTTATGGTCTATATTATATCATTACTAATGACTAATCCAAGCCTTATCATTTAATCATCAATATCAAGCCTTATCATTTAAACATCGTATTTCATGTAATTTCATGAAAAATACACATATATTAAGGTCTGTGGCGGTTCTACCTTGAAATGGGCCCCAATGTGCATTTCCCCAAAAAAACAGTCCCGAAACCTGTAGCCGAACCAGTGTCGGTTCACTGTCTCACCGGCTCCAGTTCACCTGAAACCTGTGAACCGTGTGGTGGCAGTGGCTCACCGTCTGCCGGAAGTCAACGCCTCGTTGACCACCCGAACCTTCTCCGACTGATCCGAAACTGTTACACAATATGTGTGACACCGCACCCGAACGTCCTTGAAAATTCGATTTAAAAACTTAACATTTATGTATTGAATTTCCGATTTGCCAAACAATTGTAAAGCGATTAATGTTCTACGTAGTGCACGATTGAATATCGTACTGTTCAAACTCGTATGATAGTGTCGGGTTTGCAAACACTTTTCGGGACTTATTAATAAATAAAAGAGCTCAACATTTTCTAAATAAGTGATCGAATGATTAAAAAGAATACCAATGCCTACAACCCTATCTTTGGCATTTTTGAGCTAAATAATGGAAGTAGGATTTTCCTTCTATAATATCCATCAAGTAAATTATTGGGATGAGCCTACACATATTGGAGATCAATAATGTGATTTAGGAAGTTGACTTGTTCTAAATAAATTAGGATGAGTACAAAAAGACATCTTTTGACAAAGATAAAACAATAGGACCCATTTTCCCCATTTTTGGAAGTATTGGTAGATAATTTGGATCCCAAAATGATTGGGATCAATTGGGAACCACTCCACATGATATTAGTACCTGCAAGACAAATAAAAATGGGTTAGGAAACTTACCTTGGCCGACCACCATGGAGAGGAGCTGCACAAGACTTGATAGGAATCAAATGTTGGGCCACCATCCCTATTTTCGCACAAAATGGTGTGCTGGTTGTCTCCACTCATTATGGGAGTTATACTCGACCAAATGAGGTGTATAAGGTGTCCTTGGATAGCCTTTGAAGTCTAGTATCTCAATTGAGTGGTATTTGTTCGAGGAGAGAGAGCTTATCTTACCAGAATCGAGCTGAAGTGAGTGGTGGTCTGTAAACTCGAGCTGTGAGAGTGCTGAGACTGTTTGGTTGATATCTCGAGTTATACCAATCCAATTAAGGCGTGTGAGACACCCAAAGAAAGATCTCAAGACGAGGAATCTGTGAAGGTCTGGTTTGCATCAATCGGAGTAGTGGAAGGCTTCCAAATCGTCCGAGCAAAACACAACCTCGCAGAAACGGATCTACTTTTCTAAAGTAAGTTGTTAACCCCAAAACCTTTCCTTTCATTTTCCCAAATGATATGAACGATTGGTGGAACTATTGTACACTAATACAAGTGTATGAAAGGTCCTTATAAAGTTATTTTATTGATGTAAAGGTTAGATACTAACCTAGAGCAAATCTTGGGAAACTAGGAAACGAGTTAATCGGAAAACACCCATTCTAGGGGCTGTTTTCGTATCAACGATTAAGGGTTGAACTAGCACTTTGAGGAGGCTGTTTAACACTCATATTTGAGCAAGGAATCAGTTCCAAACCCACCTTGACCAAAGCTTTGACAATTGGACCAAGAAGGGAAAGTTTAAAGCTCAATTGAGGTGAGGATTGACATCTAATTGCTTACAACTTGTAGGTTAAGCATGAGATTACCTAAATGCTTAAATCATGATTTTTCATGGATTATGATGATTATATATTGATGAAATATTGATATAGTTGCCGAAGAATGAAATTTGAAATGAATTGAGAAGGTATGAATAATAGGAGATTAAATGAGTATAAATGAACTATTTGTGAAAATGGGCATTTTTCTCATGTATGAATTATGTGGATACATAAATGAATATTTGTGTATTGAGAATGAATGTTTAAGTTGCTGCTACATAATTATAAATATGTAGAGAATTACAAATAACAAGGATAATGGTTTGATAACAATAATCTTAATAGTATTGAAATACTAGTTAATGATTATTGGGATTTATTGATTAAATTGATCCTAGGGATTGGATTGTATGAAAGGTGCTTGAATATAGTTCAAGTGTATATAATAACTTAGTATGGAACTAAGGTTAAGTTATGGGAAGTCTTTAAGGATGACCCATGGTAGTTTTATGATATGTCAATTCTAGGCATAGGGTTGCTTGAGAATTGGACCTTAATGCATGGTGATGTAGTAGAGCCGAGCTCTAGAATGCATGTAAGGTGTAGACTTGTAGTCTACGTATTGTATAGCTAGAGCCGAGCTCTAGGGCTTGCGTGGTGATGTAATAGAGCCGAGCTCTAGAACGCAAGGTAAGGAATTGACCCGAGTGACATGAATTGTATGGTGATGTAGTAGAGCCGAGCTCTAGAATACAATGTCGTGTGTTAGGGTTGGACTCTATTGAGTATCGTGGTTTGTAGCCACGGGAAATGGGAATGGTGATTTCTAAATGAACATGGGCCCACGGGCCGACTACTTGACTTTTACCTAAAGTAAGTATATTTTCAAATGGGTAACTTAGGGTTACAATCATAATATACTATCACCCTATTTGAGGGTCTTGTGCTTGAAATACTTGTTGTATATCTATTAGATGCCTGCCACACCAGTACTTTATAGCCGTATAGAGTACTGACCCCTTCGGGGGCGTCCCACCACCATTTCAGGTTGAGGCTAGAGCTTGCTTCCTGTGCTCGTTGCCCGAGTGATTTCCCCGGAGAGAAGACTTGGTTCGTGCTTCCTCCATTCAGTTTTAGAACATTAATAAACATGCTCATGGATATTTTACTTTAGAGCCTGCGTGCTCATGTTTGCCCTGTGTGGCCCTTTGTTTTAAACAATGTTTTCCGCTGCGTATTGAATTGCTTATTATGTATGTTTATGGATGACTTATGTGTGAATGATATTCATGACGCCTTGTATAATATGAATGTGTTGGACTGCGGTTGACTATTCGTATTGTACGGCGGGTTGTTGACGTGTCCGGGGAGGTCCGGGGCGTGACAATTAAGTTGGTATCAGAGCCTTAGTCCATAAACTTCATAATGAAGTCTCAAAATTCTCTTTTTGAAAAGATTTTGAAAACCATGAGCATAGAAGTTTTGTACTTGGAGAGCTTTTGGTACTTGGGTTGCAAGGTCTCTAATTGTTAAGATGGTACCCTTAGCAATTGGTATGGCAGTGACTCGAGCCAAAATGTGTCTTAAGTACCTATCCGTCAATTGACATTTGATACGAGTCTAACGACTCTTTCCCAATTTCTTTCAGAAATGGACCGTGGTGGCAGGATTACTAGGAGAAACCCGACCGGCCGTGTACCAGAGGAGACTGGACAGGGCAGTCGAAGGACCTCTAGGGCATCTAGAGGAGCTGGCCGTGGAGGCCGATCACAGACCGTGAGTGACGGTCATGTCGACACAGAAAGTGAAACCTACTGGTCCTATGAGGACTCGACTTACCAACCGGGGACCGAGCCGGTTGAGACCCCTTACGAAGGGGATGACGATGATGTGAGCGATGAAGAGGGGGAGAATGACTCCCTAGCAAGAATAGAGGCGCTGCTCCAACAATATCACCGTGAGCGTGAAGAGAGGAGGGAACGCCGAAGGCGCCGGGCTGGGCAACCTTCGGGCATGGCTTCACGAGGAGGAAGTCATGGTGCATCTAGAGTCCATGTGGAACCACGTGGAGGCCAAAATGATGGAGGTCCAACCATAAGGATCTCCAAGTACATCAAAGAAGCAAGAGATTTGGGGTGCAAACCCTTTGATGGAGCAGGGGACATTTCAGTGGCAGCACAATGGATCAAGAGGCTAAATGAAGCGGTCCTTGACATGCAAATCGCGCCGAATCTCAAACTGAGAATTGCGGTAAGATTGCTCGAGGGGATGGCATCCAAGTGGTGGGATGGAACCAAGAACAAGTACGGTGAGACCGTCGTTTGGGAGGACTTCCAACGGGAGTTCTTTGCCCAATACTATTCTGATTTCGAGGTGAATAAGAAGGTGAGGGAATACACCCTCCTAACCCAAGGGGGTAACATGTCAGTGAAGGAGCTTGAGTACAAGTTCCGGGATCTCGCCGACTACATACCGGAGTATGCTTGTGACGAGAACCGCATGGTGAACCACTTTTGGGACGCTCTTGACTTGGAGATACGTGATAGGGCAACGCAATTGCCTAATATGACTTTCGCCCAAGTGGTTGAACAAGCATTGAAAGGGGAGAAACAGTGGGAGGAACGGAAGAAGAGAGACGCCGAAGAGGCGAAGAAGAGAAAATGGGAGAGTCATGGCTCCCAAGGTTCCAACAAAAGGGGGAACCACGGAGGAGGATCTTTCCGGGCACCACCGCCACCATCAAGGGGGAACCAAGGCCCAAGTGGGCAAGGCTCGAGGTCACAGACCTCAGTGGTAACTCGTTGCAACAATTGCAAGAGGAACCATTCCGGTAAATGTCGCGACCCCCCTAGATGTTTCCAATGTGGGGATGCCGGGCATTTGAAGGCACATTGCCCACAACTGGGCGGGGCAAGGACATCGGGACCAAGTAGTGGCCCGACGGGTACACGGAATCAGACCGGGGCTTCTCAAGCAAGCAGGGGGCAAGGGGGAGCAAGTGCGAGCAACGCGCCATCCGTGAACCAAGGGAGGACCCAGGCTAGGGTCTATGCGATGACGGAGGCGGATGCTCAAGCTAACCCGGACTCCGTCGCAGGTATTGCCTCTCATATACTAGTGTTTTATCCTTAATTAGTCCATAAATTGAGGATACTAATCGCTAGGATCATGGCACGAGGTTTTGGGGTCGAACCGGGGGATTTCGGGCAATTTCAGGCGGCTGGGACCCAGGCACGATCGTGCCTAAGGCAGACACGATCGTGCCTCCAAGTCAGTAGCTGCCCAGGAATATTCCCATCCCAGGCACGATCGTGCCTAAGGCAGACACGATCGTGCCTACAAGGCAGTAGCTTCCCAGGGTTTTTCTCCAAACCAGGCACGATCGTGCCTAAGGCAGACACAATCGTGCCTCCAAGTCAGTGGTTCCCAGGATTTTTCCAACCCAGGCACGATCGTGCCTAAGGCAGACACGATCGTGCCTCCAAGGCAGTAGCCCCAGGGCGTTTTCCTGAGCCAGGCACGATCGTGCCTACCCCGGGCACGCCGTGCCTGGCACCCAGATTGCCGAAACCCGATTTTTTCGCATCGTTTTGCGACGTTAAGGCCTCTTCTTGATCCCTAACGTGCGTGTGAACATTGCAACCTTCTATAAATGAGTAGGGAGGGTAGGAAAGATGTCTTACATGGTTCATGAATGTAGGGACACTAAAGATTAACGGGAAGGATGCACGAATCCTTATCGATACCGGAGCGCAACGTTCATTCGTGAGTGAGGCGTTTGCCGAGAGCTTAGAGATGCAATCAATACCAATGACACAAACCTTAGTGGTATCAACCCCACTAGGGGAAGACGTTGAAAGAAACAATTACTATCCATCTTGTATGGTGGAAATCGGTGGCCAAACCTTGACGTGTGATTTCGTACCGCTGAGTATGATGGAGTTCGATGCAATCCTAGGGATGGATTGGCTAGAAAAGCATCATGCTAGGGTAGATTGCTACACAAAGGTGTTGGAACTCGAAGGCACACAGGGGGACACCCTACGCTTCGAGGGGGACCGCGGCAAATCAAATAGTTGTATCATATCCGCCGTGAGAGCGAGAAATATGATGAGGAAGGGATGCCACGCATATCTAGCATACGTGGTTGACAAAACCAAAGAGGAAACGAACATCGATGATGTGAGGGTGGTTTGTAAGTATCCGGATGTCTTCCCTAAAGACCTACCGGGGCTTCCACCTGACAGAGAGATTGAATTTGTGATCGAGGTCGAGCCTGGTACCAAACCAATCTCCATACCGCCATACCGGATGGCACCCGCTGAACTTAACGAGTTGAAAACCCAATTGCAAGAGCTTTTGGATAACGGTTTCATTAGACCAAGCCACTCCCCGTGGGGAGCACCGGTTCTTTTTGTGAAAAAGAAAGATGGGACACTTCGAATGTGCATTGACTATCGTCAACTGAACAAGGTCACAATCAAGAATAGGTATCCGTTGCCTAGGATTGATGACTTGTTTGATCAACTACGAGGAGCAACCGTGTTTTCGAAGATTGACTTAAGGTCGGGGTACCATCAATTGAAGATTAAGGAAGATGACATACCAAAGAGTGCTTTCCGCACAAGGTATGGGCATTTTGAGTTCCTTGTTATGTCGTTTGGGTTAACAAACGCCCCGGCGGCATTCATGGACTTGATGAACCGAGTATTCCATAAATACTTGGATCGATTCGTGATTGTGTTCATAGATGACATCTTGATTTACTCAAAGAGTGAAGAAGAGCATGAGGAGCACTTGATACTTGTTCTTGAAACACTACGGGAGAAGCAACTCTATGCCAAATTTTCTAAATGTGAATTTTGGCTAAAGGAGATTGGCTTCCTCGGGCACGTGGTTTCGGGATCGGGGATTGCTGTTGATAACAAGAAGATAGAAGCCATTACTGAATGGGAGAGGCCAAAGAACGTCAAGGAAATTCGTAGTTTCCTTGGATTGGCAGGCTACTATAGAAAGTTCGTGGAGAAGTTCTCTGTTTTGGCATCGCCATTGACGAAGCTCACTCGTAAAGGAGCTAAGTTTGTATGGGATGACAAATGTGAGAAAGGGTTCATGGAACTAAAGAAGAGATTGACTGAGGCACCGGTACTTGCATTACCCAAACAAGGTGTGGGGTACGATGTCTATAGCGATGCGAGCATCCAAGGGCTCGGATGTGTACTGATGCAGAATGGGAGGGTAATCGCCTATGCTTCACGACAATTGAAGAAGCATGAGGTGAATTATCCTACTCATGATTTGGAGCTCGGGGCAGTGGTATTTGCACTGAAGATATGGAGACATTATCTCTACGGGGAGACATGTCACATATACACTGATCACAAGAGCTTGAAGTACGTGTTTACTCAGAAAGAGCTAAACATGAGACAGAGACGGTGGATGGAGCTGATAAAAGACTACCATCTAGTGATAGAGTATCACCCAGGCAAGGCAAACGTGGTGGCAGATGCTTTGAGCCGGAAGAGCTCGTCTGGGGCATTGATAACTAATTTGAGGGCATTAAGAGCCCAACTGGAGGTAACCAGCAATGGTGCCTTATTGGCACGATTTGAGGTGAGACCCACTTTACTTGATGAGATCAATTAGGGTCAGGAAGCCGACGAAGAACTTATGAAGGTCCGGGAACGCATGCAAGCGGGGCCGGTGGAGGATTTCAGGGAAAGAGATGATGGTCTCTTGTTATTTCGTGACCGAGTGTGTGTACCGTCGGATGATGAGCTCCGAAAGTCCATCTTAGAGGAGGCTCATTCATCGGCTTATGCCATACACCCGGGGGGCACGAAAATGTACCGTGATTTGAAGGAAAGTTACTGGTGGTCTGGAATGAAGAGGGAAATAGCCGAGTACATCAGTCGGTGCCTTACTTGTCAACAAGTTAAGGCAGAACATCAGCACCCAGCAGGCTTATTGCAACCACTCTCCATCCCTGAATGGAAGTGGGAGCACGTGACTATGGATTTCGTGGTAGGCTTACCACGGACTATCAGGAACTATGACGCGGTTTGGGTCGTTGTGGATAGGCTCACAAAGAGTGCACACTTCTTGCCTATCAACACTACCTACCCACTTGAGAGGTTAGCCAAATTGTATACGGATGAGATCGTGAGGCTGCATGGGGTCCCGGTGACCATTGTATCTGATAGAGACCCACGATTCACATCACGTTTTTGGCCGAAATTCCAGGAGTCTATGGGAACGAAGTTGAAGTTCAGCACTGCTTTCCATCCACAGACGGATGGGCAGTCTGAAAGGGTTATACAGATCCTAGAAGACATGCTGAGGGCTTGTGCATTGGAGTTCCAGGGGAGTTGGGACAACCACTTAGCACTTGTGGAGTTTGCCTATAACAACAGTTATCAGGCAAGCATCGGCATGCCTCCATACGAGGCATTGTATGGGAGGAGGTGCCGTACACCGTTATGCTGGGACGAGGTTGGCATGGCCAAACTCGAGGGTACTGAGTTGGTGAAGGTCACCAAATCAAAGGTGAAGTTAATTCGAGTAGAGCTGTGAATTTCGGGGACGAAATTCCTGTTAAGGGGGGGTGAACTTGTGACACCGCACCCGAACGTCCTTGAAATTTCGATTTAAAAACTTAACATTTATGTATTGAATTTCCGATTTGCCAAACAATTGTAAAGCGATTAATGTTCTACGTAGTGCACGATTGAATATCGTACTGTTCAAACTCGTATGATAGTGTCGGGTTTGCAAACACTTTTCGGGACTTATTAATAAATAAAAGAGCTCAACATTTTCTAAATAAGTGATCGAATGATTAAAAAGAATACCAATGCCTACAACCCTATCTTTGGCATTTTTGAGCTAAATAATGGAAGTAGGATTTTCCTTCTATAATATCCATCAAGTAAATTATTGGGATGAGCCTACACATATTGGAGATCAATAATGTGATTTAGGAAGTTGACTTGTTCTAAATAAATTAGGATGAGTACAAAAAGACATCTTTTGACAAAGATAAAACAATAGGACCCATTTTCCCCATTTTTGGAAGTATTGGTAGATAATTTGGATCCCAAAATGATTGGGATCAATTGGGAACCACTCCACATGATATTAGTACCTGCAAGACAAATAAAAATGGGTTAGGAAACTTACCTTGGCCGACCACCATGGAGAGGAGCTGCACAAGACTTGATAGGAATCAAATGTTGGGCCACCATCCCTATTTTCGCACAAAATGGTGTGCTGGTTGTCTCCACTCATTATGGGAGTTATACTCGACCAAATGAGGTGTATAAGGTGTCCTTGGATAGCCTTTGAAGTCTAGTATCTCAATTGAGTGGTCTTTGTTCGAGGAGAGAGAGCTTATCTTACCAGAATCGAGCTGAAGTGAGTGGTGGTCTGTAAACTCGAGCTGTGAGAGTGCTGAGACTGTTTGGTTGATATCTCGAGTTATACCAATCCAATTAAGGCGTGTGAGACACCCAAAGAAAGCTCTCAAGACGAGGAATCTGTGAAGGTCTGGTTTGCATCAATCGGAGTAGTGGAAGGCTTCCAAATCGTCCGAGCAAAACACAACCTCGCAGAAACGGATCTACTTTTCTAAAGTAAGTTGTTAACCCCAAAACCTTTCCTTTCATTTTCCCAAATGATATGAACGATTGGTGGAACTATTGTACACTAATACAAGTGTATGAAAGGTCCTTATAAAGTTATTTTATTGATGTAAAGGTTAGATACTAACCTAGAGCAAATCTTGGGAAACTAGGAAACGAGTTAATCGGAAAACACCCATTCTAGGGGCTGTTTTCGTATCAACGATTAAGGGTTGAACTAGCACTTTGAGGAGGCTGTTTAACACTCATATTTGAGCAAGGAATCAGTTCCAAACCCACCTTGACCAAAGCTTTGACAATTGGACCAAGAAGGGAAAGTTTAAAGCTCAATTGAGGTGAGGATTGACATCTAATTGCTTACAACTTGTAGGTTAAGCATGAGATTACCTAAATGCTTAAATCATGATTTTTCATGGATTATGATGATTATATATTGATGAAATATTGATATAGTTGCCGAAGAATGAAATTTGAAATGAATTGAGAAGGTATGAATAATAGGAGATTAAATGAGTATAAATGAACTATTTGTGAAAATGGGCATTTTTCTCATGTATGAATTATGTGGATACATAAATGAATATTTGTGTATTGAGAATGAATGTTTAAGTTGCTGCTACATAATTATAAATATGTAGAGAATTACAAATAACAAGGATAATGGTTTGATAACAATAATCTTAATAGTATTGAAATACTAGTTAATGATTATTGGGATTTATTGATTAAATTGATCCTAGGGATTGGATTGTATGAAAGGTGCTTGAATATAGTTCAAGTGTATATAATAACTTAGTATGGAACTAAGGTTAAGTTATGGGAAGTCTTTAAGGATGACCCATGGTAGTTTTATGATATGTCAATTCTAGGCATAGGGTTGCTTGAGAATTGGACCTTAATGCATGGTGATGTAGTAGAGCCGAGCTCTAGAATGCATGTAAGGTGTAGACTTGTAGTCTACGTATTGTATAGCTAGAGCCGAGCTCTAGGGCTTGCGTGGTGATGTAATAGAGCCGAGCTCTAGAACGCAAGGTAAGGAATTGACCCGAGTGACATGAATTGTATGGTGATGTAGTAGAGCCGAGCTCTAGAATACAATGTCGTGTGTTAGGGTTGGACTCTATTGAGTATCGTGGTTTGTAGCCACGGGAAATGGGAATGGTGATTTCTAAATGAACATGGGCCCACGGGCCGACTACTTGACTTTTACCTAAAGTAAGTATATTTTCAAATGGGTAACTTAGGGTTACAATCATAATATACTATCACCCTATTTGAGGGTCTTGTGCTTGAAATACTTGTTGTATATCTATTAGATGCCTGCCACACCAGTACTTTATAGCCGTATAGAGTACTGACCCCTTCGGGGGCGTCCCACCACCATTTCAGGTTGAGGCTAGAGCTTGCTTCCTGTGCTCGTTGCCCGAGTGATTTCCCCGGAGAGAAGACTTGGTTCGTGCTTCCTCCATTCAGTTTTAGAACATTAATAAACATGCTCATGGATATTTTACTTTAGAGCCTGCGTGCTCATGTTTGCCCTGTGTGGCCCTTTGTTTTAAACAATGTTTTCCGCTGCGTATTGAATTGCTTATTATGTATGTTTATGGATGACTTATGTGTGAATGATATTCATGACGCCTTGTATAATATGAATGTGTTGGACTGCGGTTGACTATTCGTATTGTACGGCGGGTTGTTGACGTGTCCGGGGAGGTCCGGGGCGTGACAATTAAGTTGGTATCAGAGCCTTAGTCCATAAACTTCATAATGAAGTCTCAAAATTCTCTTTTTGAAAAGATTTTGAAAACCATGAGCATAGAAGTTTTGTACTTGGAGAGCTTTTGGTACTTGGGTTGCAAGGTCTCTAATTGTTAAGATGGTACCCTTAGCAATTGGTATGGCAGTGACTCGAGCCAAAATGTGTCTTAAGTACCTATCCGTCAATTGACATTTGATACGAGTCTAACGACTCTTTCCCAATTTCTTTCAGAAATGGACCGTGGTGGCAGGATTACTAGGAGAAACCCGACCGGCCGTGTACCAGAGGAGACTGGACAGGGCAGTCGAAGGACCTCTAGGGCATCTAGAGGAGCTGGCCGTGGAGGCCGATCACAGACCGTGAGTGACGGTCATGTCGACACAGAAAGTGAAACCTACTGGTCCTATGAGGACTCGACTTACCAACCGGGGACCGAGCCGGTTGAGACCCCTTACTCTGTTTTGTGATGCTTGGACGAATACATAAGGGGTGGGGGTAAAGAGACATCCTTTTTGTCTCTCTTGCACATTAGGCGAGGGAGGGTAATCATGTCAACTAGAAGCATTTCAACTCAAGTCCAACACCTCCCCATCCCCGTCCTCTCAATTCAGCCGTCTTATGGGTTGTCTTTGACACCCAAATTCATGGGGTGGCCCCACTCATGTGGGAGGTCATCCATTTATGTCCCCGAAAGTTGCATTTCTCGTAGTGTTTTAATTATAATTTATTTTATCGGGTTAAAAAAATATCATTACCCAATCACTATGGGCCTCTAGGATGAATATATATATATATATATATATATATATATATATATATATATATATATATATATATATATATCAATTTTAATTTAGAAGTCCCCAGAATTTATTACAAGCTGATATATATATATATATATATATATATATATATATATATATATATATATATATATATATATATATATATATATGTCAAAATGCTAATACTGGTCTATGGGTCTCGTTTGACCCACCGACCGACTCTACATCGTTCTATGGCCCAATCATGAACATGCACCGTCATATAGATATTTTCTAGTCCAAGATGAATATAATATAGGGAAAATGGAAACTAATAATCCAACTTTTAGCAGTCTTCTTACAATAGTCCAACTTTTTCGTTATTCAAGAATAATTCAACCGTTGCATCCCATCTTCATTCGCTGGTCTGTGACCGGTCAATGACATGTTATTCCAAGTTTTTATTTCTTATCTTTGCAAAATATTATCTTTGTGAAGAGTGAGATTTATGGTATAATGGTTTGCAAAGATAAGAAAATAACTTGGAATAACAGGTCATCAATCGGTCAGAGACCAGTGAATGAAGATGAGGTGCAAAGGTTGGATTATTCATGAATAACGAAAAGGTGAGACTATTGTAAGAAGACCGCTAAAATGTTGGATTATTAGTTTCTATTTCCCTATAATATATGGTCCCGTTATATCGGGTGGTCCCTGCTTCCGGTGTGTGCCCCACATGCCTTTTACTATTCACGCAAAAGAAATAACAAAAATTTACAACCTCATAAATTCAATAATCAATCCTAAAGATTCAATACATAATTTACCATAAAATAAATATACTTGAGACAATGTTACGTAATACTCCCTCCGTCCCAAAAAGGTTCGCCAACTTTGATTTTCACGTGGATTAATAAAGTAAAAATTGTGTGGTTGAAATTTGTGCAGAGGAGAGAGAATCAACTTTAGCCACATATTTCTTACTTTAAATGAAAATGACAAATAATTTTGTAACATCCAAAAAAGGAAATTTGTCAAACCTTTACGGGACGGAGAGAATATAGAAAATGATTTTTTTATTTTAAAAAAGAGAGCCAATGACAATATTCCCAAGATCATTTGCCCCTAAACTGACGACTCTTACCAACGTCCTTGTCCTCCACAGTAATTAGTTAATTTTTGTCCATCGTCTAGGACACTTTTCCATGTCCTCGCACTAAAACCCTAATCATATAAATTTATATTGACGCACGTTTTGCTGTCCACAATCTATAACCAGTTAACCACTCTTGGACCGCCTCCCAGCTCTCTCTCACACAACGTTTACTCCTTCGCCAGCACACTCTCCCCCCTAGAGGCTGGCAATACTGGGAGTGATATTCAAAAGGGAGAGGGAGAGACAGAGCGACTGATCGATCTTCTTCTATTGCTAGGATTTGAAGATGGATCTTCCAAGCCTGGCTATGATCCTCAGAGGTGCTCTCAGTAACAATCCCGTTGAGCGCAAAGCCGCAGAGGAAAGTCTCAATCAGGTATGATTCTTAGTTGTTCTTACAATCGGTGTTGCTTTTTTAGCCTCTTGTTTTGGAACTTTTGAGCTTGACATTTGCTAAATTCCTGCTATGCATGTGGGGATCTATCCACACTGCTCACTTGATGATTCAGCAGTTGCAATATGATTGGCCTTTACTTGGTTTCCTTTTCATTTATGATTACCTGTTTCTTACTTTCTTTCAAGTATTGTATACACCATTTGTTGGAATGCTGGGAAGCTATCAAGATCGGTACTCAATGATAAATATCATATTATTTACTTGTAGAGGTTTAAAGAATGCAAAATCAGAGTTTTAGTTTGAGATTTAATTTACTATTTTATTTGATTAATCTAGGAATAGATATATAGTATATCAGAGAGTCCATAACCCTAAATATGTACTCTTCTACCAATTGTATTTTTGTTTTACTATTTGTAGAGTATTTAGGGGCCGTTTACTTTTTCTCTATTAAGTCCTATCTGGATTAAGATGTTTGTTTGGGTTAAGATGTTTGTTTGGATTAAGTGATTTGTTTATGAGGCTGTTTATTTTGTTTATTCTGTGTGCTGAATAAACAGTCTGAATTGAATAAATTAATCAATTTAATATTATTCTTATATTATAATTTCAATGAGAAACTTCATTCATTAACACAAATCTATTCCACAATAAGTTTAAAAAACTTGGCAGAAAAGACATCTTAATGGGAAGGACTACTATTTTCCAGCTTAATGATTAAGATAGTTTTTTCGACTGAATGATTAAGTCTCGCTTTCAATTAAGTCTCAAGTAAACACGACTTAATGGTGGAATGATTAAGCTGTCATTCTCTTTAAATCCATTAAGTTGAAAGTAAACAGCCTCTTAGTCACTAATGTCCCTATACCACATAGTCACATACAGAGTAATATATTTGTCTATGTAAGCAGCTTGGTGCATTTTTCTGAATATATTTAGTATTTACTGCTATGTACATTCTGAGTAGTAGTTTGAATTTGGATTTAAGTTATTATGTGAATGTACTACATTGGCAGTTTTATACAGTGATGCTTAACTGGTGGATGCATGCTTAATATATTATGTGTTTCAAGTACTCAAGTTCTTAAGTTTGAAACACAGCTGTTTATGTCACTACAATATGGTGAGTAAAGCTAAAAGATCCCATGCTCTAATAATACTTATTTTGAAACTAACCAGTGGATGTTTTATTTCACACGGCGAAACATGTCACTCAACTATGCAACTGCTTTGTCTGCATTGCTCACATGTGAATATTTCAACACAGATACCTTCTCAATTAAATATTTGGAGCCCTGTTCTAAATCAAGTTGTTCTGAGAAGTGGAATGTTACACTCATTGCCCTAATTGAATATATTCTCCCAGTTCAAAAGTGTAACTAATTGGCATTGACAAACTTCTTTGGAAGTCAGTCCAATGATGGTATTTTCTTATGCGTTTAGGGTAACTCACTCATTTCATGAAAAACACAGTCTGCATAGGTTGCCTAACTTTTTTACCAAATTATTCTTGCTTTTTATGTGCTGAACATTTTTATTGTAATAGTGTGCACTTTTATTCATATTACTGTCAAAGAAGTTGTGGGTTTGACTTTAGACAAAATTCTGTCTCTTGTTTCAGTTCCAATACACATCCCAACATATGGTGAGGTTGTTGCAAATAATAGTTGATGGGTCCTGTGATATGGCAGTGCGACAGGTGGCAAGTATTTACTTTAAAAACTTCACTGCCAAAAACTGGTCGCTTCATGATCCTGGTAGTACCTTTGTTACTTGTTGTTCATGCTTGATATTTTTAGGCAAATGCCATTAACTTTACCTCTATTAATGTAGGGGAGCAGTCCAAAATCATGCCTGGTGATAAGGAATTGGTTAGACAAAATATTCTCTTATTTATTGCTCAGGTGCCTCCATTGTTGAGGTATGCATGCATATCTTTATAATCATTTTGTACTACATAGTAATTAACTAAATCATCAAATAACATACTTCATACTACCTTTGTCCATCTAAACTTTGCCAACCATCAATCTGTCCCAAATTTTGTGCCACTTTCCATTTAAAATAACTAATTTTTGGTTGTTATTATTTTCTTTTCCTTTACACAAACCTCAATCACACAGTTTCTACTTTCTTATTACATAGTTCAGTCAGATTAGGCAAAGTTCTAAGGGACAGAGAGAGTTTTTAACATTTTAAAAAAAGCATCAAAGAATAATATCCCATCCCTTAAAAAATAAAATGTCTAATACTTTGTTTTCTTTTTATTTATAATGACATCATTATAACCATGCTATCTTAATATTAAGTCATGGTTTATGTAAAACTGCAGTCTGTATAGGTTAAGTGGTTAACTGATCTGTTTTTATGTGAGGTTCCATATCTAAGTAGACAGCATGCACGATGCATCTTACAAATATATGTTGTAGTAGTTACATGTTTGGCTCATGCTTTGATTCCCAATCTGTTACAATTTTCAAACATAAAATATGACATAATTTTTCTCTCGGACTTGTTCTGTAATCAGAGTGCAACTGGGGGAATGCCTGAAAACCATTATTTACTCGGATTATCCTGAGCAGTGGCCAACTCTTTTACCCTGGATAAAGCATAATTTGCAGGATCAGCAAGTTTATGGAGCACTATTTGTTCTTAGGATTCTCTCAAGAAAATACGAGTGAGTTTGTCAATTGGGATTCAATTATGCTCATATTATTGTTTCTCTTCTCTTTCTTCTAACAAATGTAAAGATATTAATTTTTTATTTTGTGCAATTATAGGTTCAAATCAGACGAAGAGAGAACACCTGTATACCAGATTATTGAAGAAACATTTCCATATCTCCTGAACATTTTTAACAAACTTGTTCAAATAACAAATCCTTCAATTGAAGTAGCAGATCTTATCAAGCTTATCTGCAAAATATTCTGGTCATCTATATATGTATGTATTTGGTGTATATATTTTTCCATGTATACCTATTATGAGTGATGACCTTTCCTGCCATGAAACGAATAGCGCAATGAAGTGATTGCCTATTAGCTTTTAGCCAAATATAATTTCAGGGTCTGTATATTCCTTGTTGGCCCTTAACTGCTTAAATTGGGAGCGTTGCCCTCACTGACATGAATAGTTTTATGATGAAACGGCCCTGAGCCCGTGGCCTATAATTAATGATGACCTTTCCTAACATGAATACAAATTGCAAGATGTAGTGATTGCTTAATAGCTATTAGTTTTTCAATTGGAATCAGACCTTGATTGAGTTAAGATTTTTGTTATTGGTTTCATGATGTAATACATGTGCTTTATTTTTTTGATATGATAAATTATATTGGATTTTATTTGACTCCCAATGATTTTCCAGCTGGAGATTCCAAAGCAGTTGTTTGATCCAAATATTTTTAATGATGTAATACATGTGCTTTATTTTTTTGATATGATAAATTATATTGGATT